TACTTTATCCCTTATGTGACACTTTATTCAAAAGTCATAGTTTTCTATCATTAATGTTTCTGCTATGGGGGATGGGTCCATTTATAATTGCTAAAAATTTTTAAATTCATTTTGTTATTAAAAGAAGAAAATAAAAAGATAAAACATGGCAGGTAAAAATCAAGGCAGATTTAAACCCTAAAGGTAATTCTGAAAAAGGTTTAAGAGCAAGGGAAAGTGGTCAAAAAATAATTTATAATAAATATAAATTCCCAAGTAGTTAATAAATCTGTTATACTAGGCAATTCATTGTGAAAGGTTTAACTTATTTCAAAGAAAAGGAAAATTCAACAATTACTTCAATAACAGATGATTTTAATTATCTTATTACAAATGCTGTCTCTTTGAGGCTGTCTAATCTAGTTTCAAAAGTAATGTTTAGACCATTTCCTATTAAAAATAGATTATTTGAAAAATCAACACTGTACAATATATTTGCTTTAACACAGTCAATTGTGGTTGTATGATGACAGCTTTTTATGTATCTTTAGTAAAATTTACAGTTTTATTCAAATGGCTGCATGAGACACATTTGTAATATTGAGGCACACAAAAGTTAGGAATATAAAGTAAAAAACTCTACAGGCTTCTAACCTACCGTGCTTCATTTCAGTACCCTGTCATTTAGGTTCTCTGTGACGTGCTTTGAGCTTGACTGCTTAACAGAGATGTGGGAAAGCTGGAGGGTCAATGAAAAGGATTAAAAGATTGACAAGATGATGGTAGGATATAAAAATTGCAATTGAGTTTGGCAAAGAAAAATTGAGAAATAACTAGTCAGTTCTGCTGTTTTAACTGGGTGACCTTGTATAAATCACAATGGGGACTTAGTTTCTCCATCCTTAAAATTAATGGACTATTTTAGAATATTGTTAGATCACTTCCACATCTAAATTGTATAATTCTCAGAAAGACTAGCACAGAAAATGTATTCTCTTAAAATAGCTTAAATTGAAGCAAGAGAAATTTAAACTAGATAATGCGAACTAGATAAAATGAAAAAATCTTAACTCTTCAGTTAGATTCTCCTGAATGTTTTTTTCCCATGGATTTAAAAAAAAAATAAAAAGTTAATTTGTATGGAAAAAATATTTCTGTACTTATTTATTGGGAGATAATGGGAATAAATCTGTTTTTAAAAATTAACAAATAATCTTAAAAATCTAAGGTTTGAAAAACAGAAGTCAGTCATACCTTTAGTCATGCTACCACTTGCTCTAACCACTCCTGACTCACCAACCTTTTCATCTTTCTAAATCTTCTTTGCAGGCACCCCCCATTCACAGGGCCTTTGCATATGCTGTTCTTTGGGCTGGAACACTTTTCCATCCACCTTTAAGCCTGATCATTGTAAAGATATAAATTTAAACATCTCTCCCCCAAGGACGTTCCTTACGTTTCCTCATTATGTCAAATGCCCTGTTAACTCTTTGAGCACCAAAATATCTCCCCTACATAGGATATGTCAGAGATGAAATTTTCATTTTATTTGTCTACTTATTAGGATGTGGTCTGTTTCCTCCATCTGCTCTCTATAACTCCATGAGGGCAGGGCCCAATGAGGGTTTCATTGTGGATACAATCACAGTGTTCTGACATAGGCCTGGCACATAGAGAGCATAAAATATACTTATGTAGAATGAAGGAATTAATGTTTTAAAACCCTTGTTCACATTCTAGCAAGTCCTGGCTCTCTCTTCAATATTATTATTTCCTATATTTATAATTTTGAGGATCAACAAAGTTCTTTATACACTCATGATTTCTTCCTTCACTTTTACTCTGATATTATGGATAATCCCTATTAATTCAAAAATCCTAATCCAAGAACTAGATTGTTAGGATAATGAAATAGTGGAAGAACAATGTCATGCACTATAAAAATGACCACACCGTAATAGGATTAATAATACAGTATTTGCCTTACACATCATGCTGGATGATTTTATGTATAAAAATGAGATAATTCCCAATTTTGTTTTCACTGTGGATATTTATCAAAATATAGCCAGAAAAAAGCAACAAAGTATGAATATTTATTGTTATTTTATTATTAAAGCTCTTTCTGTAATGCAAGCAAAATTCAGGTAGCTTAAGGAAAAAGAAACTGTTATCTCATACAGACTGAAAATTTCAAAAGCAGTTCAGGTACACCTTGATTAACAGGCCTAAATGGTTGTTGGTTCACTCTAATGATTGTTTCTTTTGCTGTGCAGAAACTCTTAAGTTTAATTAGATCCCATTTGTCTAGTTTGGCTTTTGTTGCCACTGCTTTTGGTGTTTTAGTCATGAAGTCCTTGCATATGCCTGTGTCCTAAATGGTATTGCCTAGGTTTTCTCCTAAGGTTTTTATGGTGTTAGGTCTTATGTTTAAATCTTTAATCCATCTGGAGTTAATTTTTTTATAAGGTGTAAGGAGGGAGTCCAGTTTCAGCTTTCTGCATGTGGTTAGCCAGTTTTCCCAGCACCATTTATTAAACAGGGAATGCTTTCCCCATTGCTTGTTTTTATCAGGTTTTTCAAAGATCAGATGGTCGTAGATGTGTGGCATTACTTATGATGCCTCTGTTCTGTTCCATTTGTCTATATCTCTGTTTTGGTACCAGTACCATGCTGTTTTGATTACTGTAGCCTTGTAGTATAGTTTGAAGTCAGGTAGCTGATGCCTTAGGCTTTGTTCTTTTTGCTTAGGATTGTCTTGGCTATGTGGGCTCTTTGTTGGTTCCATGTGAACCAACAGAATGGGAAAAAGTTTTTGCAAGCTACCCATCTGACAAAGAGCTAATATCCAGAATCTACAAAGAACTAAAACAAATATACAAGAAAAAAAGCAAACAACCAAATCAAAAAGTGGGCAATAGATATGAATGGACACTTTTCAAAAGAAGACATTTATAAGGCCAACAAACATGAAAAAATGCTTATCATCACTGGTCATTAGAGAAATGCAAATCAAAACCACATTGAGATACCATCTCATTCCAGTTAGAATGGTGATCATTAAAAAATCTGGAGACAACAGATGCTGGACAGATGTGGAGAAATAGGAATGCTTTTACACTGTCAGTGGGAGTGTAAATTAGTTCAACCATTGTGGAAGACAATGTGGCAATTCCTCAAGGATCTAGAAATAGAAATTCCACTTGACCCAGCAATCCATTACTAGGTATATACCCAAAGGATTGTAAATTGATCTATTATAAAGACACATGCACACATATGTTCATTGTGGCACTGTTTACAATAGCAAACACTTGGAACCAACCAAAATGCCCATCAAAGATAGACTGGATAAAGAAAATATGGTACATATATACCATGGAATACTATGTAGCCATAAAAAAGGATAAGTTCATGTTCTTTGCAGGGATATGGATGAATCTGGAAACCATCATTCTCAGCAAACTGTCACAAGAACAGAAAACCAAACACCGAATATTCTCACTCGTAAGTGGGTGTTGAACAATGAGAACACATGAACACAGGGAGGTGAACATCACACAGTGGAGTCTGTTGGGGATGGGGGCTAAGGGAGATAGAGCAGGCGCTGGGGAGATTGGGGAGGGATAACATTAGGAGAAATACATAATGTAGGTGACAGGGAATGGATGCAGCAAACCACCATGGCATGTGTATACCTATGTAACAATCCTGCAAGATCTGCACATGTACCCCAGAACTTAAAGTAAAATAAAAATAAAAATAAAGGCTTAAATGTTGTCCCGAGTCCATTGGCTTTACCTTTACTCTGCTTTCATTTTTGTTAGCTTTAGTCTCAGATGGGATCACATGTGGTAGCCAAGAGAGCTATACATGGCTCTACATGTTTCTCGGTTTCCACCCCAAATGTCTGAGTCCTTATTGTTTGGTCTTGTCTCATATATCATTCCCTGGAGCCAGTCAAATTTGGCATTTGATTAGTTAAGCCTGAGACAAAATCCCCCTTTTTTGACTCAGTGTAGGGTTAGTCATATTCCCACATGGACTAAAGGAGGAAGAAAGTTAGAGGTTTTATTGGAAAAGAATGCACTCTCTGGGAGGAAGGGATACTAGAAAGACAAAATAAAATATGTCTGTCACAATATTTATCTTGGTACTGGGTTTACCGATAATCTGTTAGGTACTTTTGGTTCTCTGTATTTTCCAGTAATTCTACAATAGCCATGTATTGCATGAATAATAACAAAAATACAAATGAGATACTGTACGTAATAGTGTACTCTAAACTATAGAGAGCTATATAATGTAAGAGATAATTACAATTGACTGAACTTTTTTTGAATAGTAGAAATAGAATAAGAGCATCAACAAAAATATATTTAATCCCCAGCATTTTAGAATGATTGAGAATGTTCATATAATTTTTTAAAAATATGCCTGATCTAAATAAAGAGTTTGAAAATTTTTTTTCTAGCATAAATCAGTTGTTGCTTCTAAAGGAAGATTTAGTCCATTTACTTTGAATGCCAGTGAGTAACTGAGGCTCCTTACGAAAACTCAGCGCCCATGTCTCTATGTACTTTAAGGCTTAAGAGAGCATTTTCTCATTTTTCCATTTTTGAATCATGTTCCATTATTTATTGTTAGTACTTCAGACCATTAGTATATTGGGCCTATACTGGATCTTAGAGCTGATGGAGTCTCTTGCTAAAAAGTGGCTCACAATGGTATCATTTGACTTTCAACAGAGTTCCATGAGTGTGTTCTATTGAGTCAATCATACTGAGGAAAATAATCTAAATAATTGTCTTCAGCTGAAACTTTCTGTGATGTTTGTTTTCTTCTCACCCCCTCATCTTTCAGTTTTTCAAAGGAGCCGGCTTGTAGAAGGGTTCTGTATGTGATCAATTCTCTTAGGTCCGGTTACCGAGGAAACAGTCTGAGGCAGAGATTTGCTAGCAGAAGGAGGTGTGTTGGGTAGTGCTCTGGAACACCACCTACAAGGGAGTAATGGAGTAAGATTCCACAGAGGGAAAAGTTACATTGTGATGTGGTCGGAACAAAAGCCATCAGCTGACCCTACAGGGAGCTATGGACCTGCAATGACCCTTCAGCATTGTCCCAGATGGAGGCAATCTAGCTGTGCTTTTGTACTCCAGCAGAAACCAGTGTGGGCTGCCTCTGGGAAGGATGCACAATGTGGGTGAGGCAGCTCCCTTTGAACGAGCACCTTTGTTGTTTTATTCTTTTTCCATATTTCCTCAATCCAGTTTTGTGACCTCCTTTTTAAAATGAATGCTTAATTTTTGTGAGTTTCTAGTAGTGTATATATTTATGGGGTACATGAGATATTTTGATACAGACATACTAGTCATAATAATCATGCGGGTAAATGGAGTATCCCTTTCCTCAAGCATTTATCCTTTGTCTTACAAACGATCCAATTATACATTTTTAGTTATTTTAAGTGTACAATTAAACTATTATTGACTATAGACACCCTGTTGTGCTGTCAAAAATATCAGACCTTGTTTATTCTTTTTCTTTTTGTGGCCATTAGCCTTCCCCACTTGTCGCCATTCCAGATGTTTCCCAGCCTCTGGTAATCATCCTTCTACTTAATGAGTGCAGTTGTAAAGGGGAATCACTGATAAGCCTTGAGCAGCCAGCATTTCTGGTAAATGGAGAGATGAGTACCTCTGTGAGCACAACATAGCTTTTGCTACATATATATTGTGAATTTATACTGCTGTTTAGAAATTGGAACAAAAATAACATTTGAGTAATCTGAATAATTAGGGCAAAAGTCTAATTAAAGACTTTGCCATTTATATTTAGCTATTAAAATCAGTTTAATTTTTATAATAAAAAGTTACTTTTTTTTCCAATCTTTTAGTTGATTCCAAAAGATTTCTTTTTCTTCATCCTGAGGAACTTTCTTAAATTCTTCTTACAGTTTAGCTGGGCTGGCAACTAATTGTCTTTGTTGTTCTTTGATTTGAAAATGCCTTCATTTCCCATTCATTCCCAAGGTATATTTTTGCTGAATATAAAATCTGAGTTAAAAGATTTATCTTCTTATTTGCACGTTTTTCCAGTCAATACTTTAAAGACTTTATGTCACTATTGGTCTTGATAGATTTTGATGAGAAATTCACAGCCATTCAAATTGTTATTCCCCTCTGTGCAATATATTAGTTTTGTTTGTAATGTCATTTTTTTCCACATTTTATTATGTGTCTAAGCATCGTTTTCTTAGAATTTATCCTACTTGGAATTTACTTAACTTTGAGATTCTGCAAAATTTTGTATCTCACCAAATTTAGGATATTTTTGGGTACATTTCTTCAAATGCATTTCTGGTTTTGTGAAGAAAGATGGTGATATTTTGATGGGAATTGCACTGAATTTGTAGGTTGCTTTTGGAAGTGTGGTAATTTTCACAATATTGATTCTACCCATTCGTGAGCATGGAATGTGTTTCCATTTATTTTTTGCTGTCTGTGATTTATTTCAGCAGTGTTTTGTAGTTTTCTTTGTAGAGGTCTTTCACTTTTTTATTGGAAGTTAAATTCATTGGTTGGTGGAAGTTGACTGTTCATAAAAGGTCCTGAGACCTGAGCCTTCTGCTTTTTATGTTGTTTCAGTTTCTGCAGGACGTCTTAGATACACTCTTTGTGATTTTGGATGATAATACCGAGAAATATGGCCTGTTGGTTTTCAGTCACTGGTAAGTCACTTTCCTGACTCTTTACTTTTATTAATTAGTCCTGTCATATATTTCAGAAAATTTAAGGGGAGCAATTTATTAGAGTGAATCAGCAAAAGATATAGATGTTTCCAATAGAAAAGGAACTGAGTGTTGCCCAAAGAAGACCAACCAACCTACCAGGCAAATCAAATTTGAAGAATCTAGCATAATCAAGTCCAGACCTTTGCTTTGTAGTTTCTGGATCTTCAGTCTCATCACTATTGCAGTGTTGTCTGGCCCCTGAAATAGTGACTTCTATGAGGTCGGAAACACAGAGAGTAATAGAAGAAATCAAATGGCCCATTTTTTCACTTTCAAAGTAGGATATAACCACAACTCAATACCACCTTACTCCTACAAGAATGGCTATAATCAAAAATCAAAAATAATAGATGTTGGCATGGATGTAGTGAATAGAGAACACTTCTACACTGCTGGAGGGAATGTAGACTAGTGTAGCCACTATGGAAACAGTTTGGAGATCCCTGAAAGAACTAGTAGAACCACCATTTGATCCAGCAATCCCACTGCTGAGTATCTACCCAGAGGGAACAAAGTCATGATACTAAAACAATACTTACACACATATGTTTATAGCAGCATGGTTCTCTATTGCAAAAATGTGGAACCAACCCAAATGCCCGTCAATCAATGAGTGGATAAATAAACTGTAATTATGATGGAATACTGCTCAGCCATAAAATGGGATGAATTAATAGCATTTGCAGCACCCTGGATGGGATTGGAGACTATTATTTTAAGTGAAGTAACTCAACAGTAGAAAACCAAACATTGTATGTTCTCATTTATAAGTGGGAGCTAAATTATGAGGATGCAAAGGCATAAGAATGACACAATAAATTTTGGGGACTCAGGGGAAAAGGTGGGAGGGGGTGAGGGATAAAATCATTCCTTTTTAAGACTGAATAATGTTCCACTGTATATATTTATCATATTTTTTAATTCAATCATTTACCCATCTGTGGACACTTGAGTTACTTCTACTTTTTGACTATTGTAAATACTGCTGTGAATATTGGTATACAAATATCTCTTCAGGATCCTGCTTTCACTTCTTTTGGGTATAGACAGAGATGTGGGAAGGCTGGATCATGTAGTATTCATAAGTTAAGTGACAAAATGGGAAATTTAACAGCAAACTGGAAATTTTTTAAAGTCACAATTACTAAACACGTGAATGAAATAATTAAAATTCAGATCTCTGGAGTTGAGGTCAGCTGAATGAGTTTAATCAGGAGATTATATGAAATTGGAAAAATTAGTAAATTGAAAGAAAGGTCAAATAAAATATGTAAACTGAAGCCAGAAGCTTCAAAAGGATAGAAGATATGGAGAATAACATAATGGATATTTAGAATATAGCACGAATGTCAAGTAAATGTAATTGGACTCCTAAGCAGAGGAATGAATTGGGTGGAAGGAAGAGTTGAGAAGATTGTGACTGAAAAGTTTTTTTAACTACTTTAAAAATTCAAGATAGAGATTTAAGAAGTCCTGTAAAACCCAAGCAGCATAGATAGAAGGGAAAATATGCTAAGGAATAAAATTTCAGCTGTTATAAAATTGCTGAAAGCAAAAGATACATAATAAATCTTAAAAGCAGCCAGAAATTTACAGATTCAGCTAAATCTGTATCAAAATGCCCTCTCTTTTGAAGAAATTTATGAGCTGATTCTAAAATTAAAATGGAAATAATCAACTACATATATTTTTTAAAATGAACAAAGTTATAATACATATAGTATCAGTCTTTAAGAACTACTATAAAGCTTTAAGAACTACTATAAAGACTAATGTAGTACTTGTGTAATAAATAACAGATTCATAGATCCAATTAGAAAGTCCAGATATAGATCTCCCTAGATAAAGACAACTTATTTTAACCAAGGTGTTAAATTAAATCCAAAAAAAGGGAAGTCTTTTTAACAATGATGCTGGATCAATTCTATATATATTACTCCATACACCCAAATTAAACTAATTCAGGATGATTTCAAGGCCTAAGTGTGAAATATGCCACCATAAATCTTATGGAATAGAATATGCAAAACTGTCTTTTTCATTTTGAGTAGATGAAGTTGTGTTAGACAAAATACAAAAAGCACTAAACATTATAAAAATCAATAATACTGACTTTATTAATATTAAAAAGAAAACTTCTGCTTATCAACAGAAACTATTAAGGAAACAAATAGGGAAGCCCCAGACTGAAGTAAAATATTTGCAATGCATAAATTGAACAAGGTCTTTAATCTAGAATATATAAAGAGCTTCTACAAATCAACGTTGTAAACACAAACAACCAGCCCAGGCAACATAGTGAGACCTCGTCTCTTCAAAAAATAAATATTAGCTATACATGTTGTCATACATCTGTAGTGTCACTTACTTGACAGACTAAGGCAGGAGACGCTTGAGCCCATGGAGGATGAGGATGCAATTAGTCATAATCATGCCACCTACTCCACCCTGAGCAACAGAGTTAGAGTGTCTCAAAAAAACCAGAGTAAAATAACCAAATAAAAAAGGTCGAAACATTTGAACAAATACTTGTCAAAACAATATGTAAGAGTGACCCATAAATACAAGCCTGTAAAAAATGTTCAACATCATTAATTATCAAAGAAACACAAATTAAAACCACAATAGTATACTACATTCTAACCAATTAAATGGATATAATTAAGACTGACAATGTTAAGTGTTGGCAAGGATGAGGAACAGATGAATGCCAGTGGGCATGTAAAATTATACAAATATTTATGAAGTTTCATATAACATTAAACACACATCTATCCCAGGGATTCCATTTCTAGCTATTTAAACAAGACAGAAAAAAATGTCCACAGAAATGTTTATAAAAATATTTATCACATGTTCATTATAATAGACCCAGTTTTGAAACTCAAATCCTCGTCAACAGGAGAGTAGAATAAGCTATTTTTGATATAGTAATACTATAGAATACTGATTGACAATTAAAAGGAAATAAATAGTACCAATATATGTCATATTGTGCATGAATCTTATAAATAATTTTAAGCAAAAGAATCCAGACATAAAATACCTTATGCTGTAGGATTTCAACCAACTAAAAATTATGGTGGTTCCACTGTTACATAGTACTGTATTCTTGGACTCAGGTAGTACCATTAGGGAATTGTCTTTCTGAGTCTCCTAACTCTGCTATTTGTGTTGACTCCTCTCTCAGACAGGTTCTCCCTGCTAATGACCATTTTGGAAACATTAAATTGTAATTTTCTTTACACACACATATAACATGTACAAATACATGTTGAAACTTTTTTTTGATGCCTTAATTCTTAGTGGGTAAGGTAACTGAATTGCTTACAACACTGTGAGTACTAATTATATCATAGACTTCTGGACATTATTAGTAAACTGTATTCTATTTTATTCTTTTGTTCTTGCAACAAACTTTGTTTTTTGAAGCCATATTTTGAACCTTCTATTTTCTTGTACGCTATCAAAATAAAATATCAAAGTAGTTCTTATGGAAGCAATATAGTGGTTAAGACCCTTAAGCATGTAAACTTTGAAATCAGATAAATCTGTATTATATCTTAGCTCTGCCTCTGACTAGTTGTTAGGATTCAGTACATATGATGCAACTTCTTTGAGTCTCTGTTTCTTCATCTGTATAACAAAAAAGTAGATAATATGTGTAAAACAGCACAGTCTCTAGCATATAGCAAATGCTCAACAATTTACCACTATTATTGTATTATCTTTAGTAAGATAGGGAAAACCACTTAGTCATTTACCATTATTTTAATTATACTTAATATCTTGTTTGATGAGATGGATGACTGTTGTTTTTCACTTTTCAAATATCCGTTCTCCCTTCGCCTGGTTATTTTACCTGGATTTACTTTGTGGTTTTTCAGTAGCTAAGAATGAGACTGCTCTCATCTCTGGTTCAAAACATAGACATATGACCCATTTCTGCCATAGGATTGATTCAAATGTGGGCACATCACCACCCCCCTCCTTTTTTTTAAAGAAGGTGAAGCAGAGAGGAGCCAGCCTGGATCTATTGGCAAGAATGTTTTGCCAGAAACTGTACCTAACCATGAACTTTTCATTCCGATAAATCAATAATTATCTTGTTGTTTTTTGCTGTATCCATTTTGAGGTGGGCTTCTGTGACTTTGTAACTGAATGACACAGGCCCAATGCAACTGTTTTACATTTGCCAACAGGACAGATTATATCAACCGATCAATATCTAGACTTTGTTTTTATCCTATTCCTTTGGCTTTCAACCTCTTGGGGATCAAAATTCAAAGTAATCATCTGGCCAAACCTAAACTTGTTACAAAGATTGACAAAAGACAAAATTACCTCAAATTTAGTTTAACACCCTTAGTTGCCTTATTCAAATCATCTGCCTGCCTATGATTAACTCATAGCTCAGCTGCTGTGATTGGCTGAAACTCAGGTATTTGTTATAAGAGTGCACTCCTAAGTTAGATTTTCAGTTAACGTATTTACTCAGTTAGGCTGCCCTTTATTAAATAAGTCCTCAATAAAGAGGCATCTCCTTTTAGTTTAAGATCAAACTTTTTGTCACCTGAAATAACAGAGTTCTCAAGAAGGCTTTCTTTGAGAACATAAAATCAGAGTGTTAAATCTGGAGAGGAGGTTAAAGACAATCTTTTCCCCACAGAAGAGCACTTTGTCCTGAAGGATAAAGCCACCTATCCAAGGTTGCCTAAGAGGTTACAAAAAAGAATTCGAATTTCCGTTTCTTATACTTGCAGAAACACCCTTTTAATGTGCATTTGCGTGTTCAGCAAGCCATATTGTTTGTGCTACAAGAATCCAAGTGAGTAACATTTCTCAGATAAAAATAGGAAATGGCCACAGATGTATCTGTTTTATACACAGAACTTGATTATGCCCATACAATAATAGCATCTGCTTAGATGCAGATAATAGTTGAATATAACTGTCAAAAACTTGTTGACATTTGCAAGTACATGGAATGCTTTGGATAGTTTTTTAGCTGCTCTTTTTTGACATATACATTGCTGAAAACTTCCTATGGATTTTGTTGAAAGAAATTAATAGTACATATGAGTTTGCAGTAATTATAGTGACCTTGAGAAGTTAGCCTCTGTAAGCCTCAGTTTTCTCATTTGTAAAGTGGTTATAATAGTATTATTTTTAGGTTCGTAATATAAGTAAACATCAAATTAGCTAGTACCTGGGCCTGGCACATAACGCCTTAGTTGACTTATGCTGCACTGGGCTTGGCACATAACGCCTTAGCACTGGGCCTGGCACATAACGCCTTAGTTGACTTAAGCTGCACTGGGCCTGGCACATAACGCCTTAGCACTGGGCCTGGCACATAACGCCTTAGTTGACTTAAGCTGCAATAACAAAATTTCATACACTGGGTGGTTTAAAAAACAACAATTTATTTCTCACACATCTAGAGGCTGGAAAGTCCAAAGTCAAGGTGATGGCTGCCATTTTGCTATGTCCTCACAAGACATTTCCTCTGTTCTCCAGTGGAGAGAGGGATGTTTTTCTCTCTTCCTCTTTTATTTAGGCCACAAATCTTATCATGAGGGCTCCACCCTCCCGATGTCATTCAACCCTAATTAACTCCCAGAGACCCCATCTCCAAAGACCATCATAATGGGAACCAAAACTTCAACCTATGAATCCCGAGAGGAGAGAAATAGTCAATCTATGGCACGCAGTATGTGTTCATTATAGGTTAATGTTCATTATTAGATTATTATTACTTGGCTACTATATTGTTCTACAGTTTAAGATTAACCTTAGCGTAGGCTATTTGGAAATGTTTCTCTCCTCACGTATAATGTTTGTTTGCAAGTCTGGGATTTTGGTGAGCTTCCTCAGGTATTTTGTCATGTAACAGGGTGTGCAATAAAGTGGAGTGGAGTGCGTGTCTGAAATGGGTAACAACCACAAGCTGATCTATTTGTATGATAACAGTACAGTTAAAAATAAATAGGTTCCCATACTCCTGAAAAATAGAACTACAATTTCAGGAAGGCAGTGAGTTCATTGGCTTCTTTTAATGACCCAACAAATAACATTTCACACATTATGGTCTTCCACTGGGAACCCTAAAAAAGAAAATTAAGCCTTGTGTCACAACCTGAATTCTATTGGTATGATATATAGCAATCCTACTCACAACAGCAAGACATTAGAGAAGGAGAATACTAGGGAATGGATGGGGAAGGGAGGACAGGGGGGGAATACCTCAAAACCATATTTGGAAAGAACTGTGATACTATGTTTTTTCCACCAAATGCAAAGCATATGATTTGAACCAGGCGGTGTGCATATTTCACTGAGGTTCAAAAGGGACTTGAAGAGATCTTATAAAATTGAGGTCCAGATTGGTAGTTTAACTGGCAATATTGGCATCTCTTTCATTTCATTCACAATAGCAAATTGTCAATAGGATTCCATGAAATGGCCAGTTACCTTCTAGACTTATGGCTTTCAAACTTTAACGTGCATACAGTCACCTAAGAATTATCTTAGAATGCAAGGCGGGACTTGAACTCATACATTTCAAAGTGGTTCTCAAGGGATGCTCATGCTGTGGTCCACAGTCTACACTTAGAGCAATGTTGTCAACTGAACTTGCTTCTAGCGTGAATAATCTATATCTGGGCTCCCTTACAGCTAACTACTATTGAGGAACTGAATTTTTAATTTTATTATATTTAAATTTATTTAGCCACATGTAGCTAGTGACTACCTTACTGAACACCACAGCTCTAAGATCAATAAGAAAAGCTCAACTATAACCCTGCCAGTGTCCCCTCTCACTTTAATCTCTCCGAGGGATTCCCATTGTTTTTGCATAAGTTAAAAACAGAACTAGCATCTACAAGACTCAGTGTAGTCTGGTGGCTGCCACCTCTCCAGCTTCCCACATTCCGCTTGTTCTCACCATGTAGCTGTCACCACCCTGGGCTTCTTTCACTACTCTCTCAAGCTCCTTTTAAATTAGATTCATGACATCACTTTCCTTCTGCCTCCAACACAGCCTTCATTTCTTTCCTCTTCCCTTAGTTGATTTAGACTCAGCTTTGGGTTTCAGTTCAGAGAAGTTTTCCTTGGAATTCTTAGCAAGGCCAAGCACTCACGATTCAGATTTTCCACACTTTAGGCCTCTTGTTCTCTGTTATGAGTCTATATTTATTTCTGTGTTTGTGTGTTAATATCTAACTCATCCAACAGGCTGAAATTGAATGGGAGCAGGGACTATATCTATTTCTGCTTGTCACTGAGTTCCTAGCAGTCAACACAGGACATAGCATATAGTGTGTGCTCAATGTTAATTGAATAATAAAGTTTTAAATATATACATATGCACACATACATGTATATATGTGTGTGTCCATATATGTAATATATATACAGTCATCCCTTGGTATCCTGGGGGATTGATTGTAGGACCTTTTGTGGATGCTAAAATCATGGATGCACAAGTCTCTGATTTAAGATGGCATTGTGTTTTCACATTACCTATGCATATTATCCTGTATGCTTTAAATTATCTCTAGATTACTTATAATGTTTCCTATAAAGTAAATGCAACATGAATCGTGTCATGTTATATTGTTTAGGAAATAATGACAAGAAAAGGAAGCCTGTACATGTTCAGTACAGAGGCAAACTTTTTCAAGTATTTTCAACCCATGGTTGGTTGAATCCACAGGTGCAAAACCCACAGATATAGAAGACAACCTGTATATATATAATGTATGTATATGTATGTGATATACACGCACAAGCAAACACACACACAAAATTATTTGGGGTGCTTGAATTACTTAGAAATGCAAAATCCCTTTGTCTCATGTCTTCAAATTTCAATTTAGTAAACATGGGGCCCAGAGGTCCTCATTTTTGACAAGCATTTGAGCTGCATCTTTTACAAGTTGTCTGTGGGCTCCTTGCTGAGAAATCATGTTAGAGGTAGCCCTTAAATATGGTAAAGTTTTAGTTTTCTGAACTATAGAACAGTAGCTTAGTCACCCCCCTTCAAGGACTCAGGGAAGAGCATTCCTTACTCTCCCATGAGATAATTGAGCAAAGCTGGAACAGAGCTAAGCAAGGCTAGAAAGTATTCCTTTCATAAAACATCCATGTATAGTTTCTTTTTTTTTTTTTAAGTTAATGATCTTTTTATTGGGAAACAAAATAAAGACCAGCATTTACAACTTGGAATGGATGTAAATTGTAATTTCTTTGAACAGCAATGGTGATGGTTGTGCTGAAGTCTACAGCCACAGCCTACTCTGCCAGCTCCAAGTCATGATTCAGGAGGTTTTAAAAATAGAGTCCAAAGATGCTTCCTCAGTAAAAGTTTCTTATTAAAAATTTGTGTCAACAGTGACAGCCTGATACCTGTTTCACTCTGGAACAATGCAGCCAACACTAAACCAACATATGCGGGTATGCTACCAGGGTGTGTCACCGTCACTATGGGTCAGGGCACACCAAGTGCAGGAGGACCATCCTACCAGTGGGGCTACATCTGAACGATTTATCCTTCACTCATTTTTCTGCACGTCATCCTGAGGTAAACCAATTTTAAATGTGTTTGTTTTCAGTAAACCAGCTATGACAATTTATACTAAACAAATTGAACTAGAACCCATTTGAATAGGTTTTGAATTTGTTTTTTCATTTTTCATTTTTAATACAAATGCCTGACTGTGCTCAATCATCAAGCTGCATGCATGAAAAACTGGCCAGCCCAAACAGTGTATTAACCATTAGCAAATGGAACTTTAAGGAGTCCTTATCATTAAGGTAGTACAAGTATTGATATTGTAAAACTGATGTGTAGCTTGATCTTTAGGGGACAGGACCACCAACCAATACATGCAGATTCTGTGTGTGTGGACAGAAGGTACTTTTGACATTCGGTTTTACTATATAGAAACAGAATGAATAAATGAACTCTTTTCTTTTTTCTTTTTTTTTGCAAGAGGTAAGTAAAAGATTCAATTTGATTCTTCTAGAGGGGGGAAAAAGGAGTTGAAAGTAGGTCTTCATTTTGCAGTCATCATCTGTACTAATTCTTCATAGTTGACTTGTCCATCTCCATCAACATCTGCTTCTCTGATCATTTCATCTACTTCTTCATCTGTTAGTTTTTCTCCTAAGTTTGTCATGACGTGACGTAGTTCTGCTGCACTAATGTAATCATTGCCATCCTTGTCAAAGACTCGGAATGACTCATGGATTTCTTCTTCACTATCTGTATCTTTCATTTTTCTAGCCATCATAGTCAAAAATTCGGGGAAGTCAATGGTGCCATTACCATTAGCATCCACTTCGTTGATCATATCCTGCAACTCAGCTTCTGTTGGGTTTTGACCCAGTGACCTCATGACAGTTCCAAGTTCCTTTGTTGTGATGGCGCCATCGCCATCTTTATCGAATAGGGAGAAAGCTTCTTTGAATTCAGCAATCTGTTCTTCGGTCAGGTGATCAGCCATGGTGTGAGCGAAGGGAGCAAGAGCAGACGGAGCGATGGTGGCTGCACCAGCGCGGGGGCTGTGACGGCCAGGGTGCCTCCGACGGTGCTGCCGCCGCTGCTAAGGCGCACTGTGCTCTGTGCCGCCGCGTTCACGAGACTTGCAACAGCACTGCACTCACGTATAGTTTCATAGTACAGCCAGCAACCAACTCATCCCAATAAAAGAAATTGTAATAAAGAGCAACTTGCATGGAGTAGGAAAAGAACTGGATATTTTGGTGAATAAAATGAAACTATGATGTAATTGTTCAAAAACACTGCTCCCAATGGCATACTGATGAGTTGTACTGTAATATTTAAAAGAACAAAAGTAACATGGCCGGGTTAAGGGAAAACACATTGACTAGCAAAGGTCATTTGCTTTATGGACGCAAATCGTTAGTGTGGAGGAGAAAGCCAGGTAAAGGAGATGAAATAAATGAGAAATCCAACTCAGCAGGAGCCCAGCCAAAAGGAAGACGGCCCCTGTTCCTCTCATGTCAAAGGTGGGATTGAGAAATGAAAGTCCCACTTCTCTATCTTCTAGCCTACATTATGCTGATTGGAAAAAGCACAGTCTGAAAGGAAATAGAATTCGCTTTTTTTTAGAAGGAGGCCTGGAATATAAAAGAAGCTTAGCCCTGATGATATGACAGTGCTTCCTTCTTCGGTTTATTCACCTCATTTCCTCAATATGAATTTGTTGAAAGTATAGCGTTCCCTCTGTAGCCACACTGTCTGGATTCATATCCTCCCTTCATCACTAATGCCATTACTAACTGGGAAAGTTACTCAATAATGTGAATGCCTCAAATTTTCTTATCTGTAAAATGGAGATAATAATACATATGCTCCTTGACTTACCAGGGGGTTATGTCCCAATAAACCCATTGTAAGCTGAAAATATATTAAGTCAAAATTGGATTTAATAACCTGGCTTTATTGAACAGCATAGGTTAGCCTGGCCTACCTTAAATGTCCTCAGAGCACTTATGTTAGCCTGAAGTTGGGCAAAAGCTTCTAACACAAAGCCTAATTTTTAATAAAGTGTTAAAAAATCTCATATAAGAATTTATTGAATATTATACTGAAGGTAAAAATCAGAAAGGTTGTATAGATACACCTCAAAGTATGGTTTCCATATGGATATGGCTTTCCCATTATCATAAAGTAAAAAAAAATCATTGTGGAATCATTGTAAGTATTCCATGGAATAAGTGCAGATAATCCCCTCTGTACAATGATTAATACATTTAAAAAGCTTAGAATGATAGTTGCATTGCAGGTATGACATTGGTGTCAACTGGTTCGTTTTTGTTTTTGAGCACATCTTTAACCTGGTAGAATTTGGAGCCCAGTGAAGCAGGGGGACAAGATAGTACACAATGGAAATATATATAATCACTAATTTGCCATCATAGCCATAATAATCAATAATTAATAGAGTATGCTATAAAATAATGAATGGCCTGTGGAAAAAGTAAAATTTAAAAGAAGAACCATCTTAGGGACTGAGAATGCTTGTAAAGAAGTGGATTTTGCAAAGTAGATAAGTTTAATTCTCACAACAGGCCCATAAGGAAATTATTGCTACTCTCCAAAGCACAAAGAGGTTCAGCAGCTTTCTCAAGATCACACAGCTAGTATGCAAGTCTAAATCTGGTGACCATCACGATAGTTACCTGAAGGGTCTTGGTTGGTGAAACAGAGATGTTGCCATGAGGAGAACATACTGGAATGAATCATGCATATCAGGAGAAAAAGTGTTTTAGGCAGAGGTGACAGTAAGAAGGCAACAAGGAGTATGATCCTGACATGTTAGAGGAAGAGCAAAAACTCTGTTATGACAGAAGTTGTTAAGGAAGGGGACGTATTTGAGTCAGAGAGATAATAGGAAGATGCAATTCATGGAGACTATTTGCAGTGGACTGAATGTCTGTGTCCTCTCAAAGTGTGTTTCTGAAATTCTAACCCCCTTCCCCCACAATATAATGGTATTAGGAGGTAGGGCTTCTGAGAAGTGATTAGGTCATGGGGATGGAATCCTTAAGAATAAGATTAGTGCCCTTATAGAGAGGAGAGAGCTTGCTTCCTCTGTGCTCTCCACCATGTGAGGATACAAGGAGAAGACAGCCATCTGCAACCAGGAGGAGTCCTTTCTCCAGCACTTGACCATGTTGGCACCTTGATTTCAGACCTCCAGCCTCCAAAGCACTGTGCTAATGTGTTGTGCAAGCCTGGCAGTCTGTGGTAGTTTGTGATAGCAACCCTATACCATTGTAAGAATTTGGCTTCTGCTTAGCAGTAAGATGGGAAGTCATTGAAAGATTCTCTGTATTATTGTACATGATTGTCATGGGAAAATATTCAAATATATAAGTGAAAAAACAAGGCACCCAATTATACAGACAATTTAATTCTAGAAAACAACTTCTGAAGAGAAATACAAAAACATGTAATAGTAACAAATATCTTGTATTTGAAACATGACTGGCTTTTATTTTCTCTTTGCACTTTTTGGCATGTTTCAAATAATATAAAATGAATTATATTTATAGCTAGAGAAATATATTATTTTCTAAAATATAGGTGGTAGCTAAGCAACTGGAAGTAAAACGTAATTATCTGATAATATGATTATAAAACACCCACCTTAGGCATTGTGTATATATTACTAATAGTTGATAAAGAAATCTTCTCACTAAGTCTGGACAATCTGGTTATTAGAAATGAATTTTCTTTACTCAATTGGGAAACAAACACCTTACCTATATAATCTGGAAAAATAGATTTATGCAGACTTGACTTCAGAACAGATATAATTTGTTCTCTCTATTATCAGAGGTTTTAGTGTCTTTTCATAAACTGGGGATTAAACTTGTTCACTTAAAATTTAGTAGTGTTTTAAAATAGTCTCTTAAATTTTATGTGAAGTTTGGAAGATTATAAATTTAGTAGTAATTGATAAAATGTTATGTTCTGTTGGAAAATATTATATTCTTTTATATCTTTGAAATGTTAATTTCATGTTGAGATTTGAATAAACTATAATTATGTCACAATGATATTCCCCTTAAAAGAAAATTATATGAATAGAAGGAGAAATTAGGCATGTATTTTGCATATGATTTTATAATTATTCTCTTTCTGCAGTAAATTCTTCCCTTTGTACACATTACAGAATGACTGGGTGTTTTAGCTTAAGTAAAAGAAAATTGCATTTAAAAAGAGTATTTCCTTTATTTCTTATCCCTTAATTGAAATCAAAGATGCTGTGTCCATTAGGTATCTCTATGAGATCAGTAGCAGATAATTCAAATTAGGTTAAGAAATAAGAAACTATCAACACATATAAATAATCATAAAGATTGCTCCAGAGATGGAGCTATCTTCAAGGATAGCTGAGTTGAGACCCTGGGCCTCGTTGTGAGGACCTTGTTTCATTCTGTCTCTCAGCTCCAATTTTGGCTTTGTTGGTTTAGGTCTAGGTGGCTCTAGGTTCTTTCTTGTGTCAGCAAGATGTTTGCAGCAGGCTTAACTTCTCATTCTTCCAGTTAAAGACTAGGAGGAAACAGTGAAATTCTTTTTCTGGTAGCTTCTTTAAAAGCTCTGAAGTTGATTCTGATTGGCCCATCTAAAATCATGTGCCCATAATGGAATCAAACTGCAGTGACAGGAGGAATGCCAAGGTTCAGTTCCCCTGGGAGTCAGTCCTTGTTCTCCTTTCTCAACAATGTGGTGGCAAAGGTGGATTACCAGTTGAAAATCAGGAAAACAGGGGTTGGTGAGGTAGTCATCAAATACCCATAACGTAAACATTGCCAGAAAATCTTTTTATAAGTGTAATAATCATATTTTGCTGCCTAACAAAGAACCTTATAATGAATATTGCCTTATAATAAATATCTTGCTTTTAAGTCTGTGGATCCGCTCCACATGTCTACTTAGTCAATAGCTATCTGAGATATGTTTCTTTAATGGCAAATGGCATAAAAGCAAAAAAGCTGGGCAAAGTTATGAAATGGATTTCCAAGCTTCAGCTTATAGCTCCAACACCATCTCTTTAGGCCACATTTTATCAAATAAGGCAAGTCACATGGCTAAACTGAACTTCAGTATGATGAGGAAATATGCTCTTCCCACTTCAGTGGGAGGTAATGCAAAGTCATGTGACAAAAGGCAAGGAGTTTGTAATTCTAGTAAAGGACAAGGGTGAAGAATAGAGAGCAGTAATCCAATTTGCCAGAGTAAGTTTCTAGTACTCTGTTGATGACAAGGTTAGCTGTCGGAATTTCTCTCCTTCAAGTCTTTAAGTACAGTCCATATTCACTTCAAGTAGTGTTTGTTATTAAGATACCACCAAAATAGAGCCCATCCCCATTACATTTATTTTCAAATTAAGTTATACATATATATTTATAAGTCATTGGTGACATAACATCTAATGACTAAAATTATTACAGACATTTTCCATATATATTCCATATTCCATAATTTTTGAGCTAACATGCTTTACTGAAATCTCAATACTAGTTCCAGAAGAAGAATTCAAATGTCAACTTCTGGTTTCCAATTGAAGTTTTAAAACTACCTTTATTCTTTTTTTAAAATTATACTTGAAGTTCTGGTGTACGTGTGAAGAATGTGTGCAGGTTTGTCACATAGGTATACATGTGCCATGGTGGTTTGCTGCATCCATTGCCCCATCATCTGTTTTAGGTATTTCTCCTAATGTTACCCCTCCAGTTTTTTATTTCTAAAACACGAAAGAAAGTTAGGTCAAATCACCAGTAATTCTTATTACCCTGAGATTTGAGTGGTTAGAGTCATAACTTTAATATGAGTTAAGTGTATTTTTATGCAGTAATTTGGTAAATCATCTCCATAGATCATAGAAAAGTACCCACTTTTGTTCTGCCTGATGGGTAATATGTTCTAGATGAGCAATTAGGTATTAGTTGTACACAGCTGCAGCTTGTTTGACAAATACTTTTTTCAATCACACATTTATCTCTCTTTTACTGGATAAGTTGGCAACATGCCTTATATAGATAGGTCTTTACTGTCCTGTTTTCATGTAGTTCCAGGCTGCTGGTCTAAAGAATGTTTGTACATAATTAGATAAGTAT